TATATATATACATACATATATATATATACATATATATATATACATATATATATATATGATGTAGTCATAAAATAAAACATGATCACGCAAACATTCCAAAAAAATGTATTATGGTATAATTGAAAAAAAAAAACCTTAGTTGTATTGTATCGATTTTGCAGAAAAGAAAGTTCAATATGGGGATACTAATATAACACAGAGATTGTAATGTCATGATAAAAAAAATGTCTTGGAAATTTTATTAATAACAGATTGGGCAAAAAAGTAGTGGTGTCAGTTGGGTCGGCCCGGTCCGACCCGGCCCGAGTCCGCACTCGATCCGGAAGTTTTGGGTTCAGGTTCGGGCTGGCCCGATTTTTTTCGGACCTATATAATTAAGTCCGAAGCCCGACTCTATGCATTCCGGGCTGAGGTCGGGTCGGGTTGGGCCGGACCGGCCCGCGGATTTTCCTTTTTAAATGTTATTTTTTTTCTTTTTTTCTTTTTTTTTAAAATTTTTGGGTTTTCGAACCGGTCCGATTTGAGTCCGAAACCCGATTTGAACCCGATACAAAAATCCGATTTTTTTCGGGCCAAAAAATTTCGGCCCGAAACCTGCTATTTTTCGGATTGGGTCGGTCGAGCTTCGGATCTCGTATCCAAATTGACACCCCTACCAAAAAAGTGAAACACTGTGCGGCAATCAAGAGAGCCACACACGGCATGTGAGGTAATAGCCAAGCAGTGGATTCTTTATTAGTGAATCTTTGCATGATTAAACTATTAGTTTAGAAATGTGGTAAACAATAATAAATAAATAAATAATAAAAGTGTCTTCCACACTTCAATGTCTCGCCTTTGCCCCAACACCAAATACCACTTTTTCTTTCTAGAATTACTTTCCCCAATAACAATAAAAAATTATAAAAAAAATAATAATAACATATTTATATTTACCCTAATTATCTCCCTTCCCCATTACATTCAAGGTAAAAACAAATTACAACATAGTATAAAATGTTACTGCACATTGAGTTAAAAGGACATATCAACCATGAGGTCAGACAAAAAAACAATAGGGAACGAAACTGAGTTTAAAACTGAGAGAAGCAATAGAGAAATACGATTCGATTATCGCTCAAAATAGGCAAACTACAAACAATTTAAACATAGAGATACAACAAGGTACCTTTTTTTTTATTACAACCCCAAAAATACCAAAAATAGAAATAACGCTACCACAAAACCCGACACTCCACAATCTACTGTCGGAGCAAAATTTAGAGTTTCCTTATATCAAGCTAAAGGCAGATAAAACCCTCCCTAGGCCCCCCAAAAAAAAAATATTACAAAAGGTATTGTCAATAACTCATATTATCTTATAGGAACCGGGTAAATACCGAATTACCCCCACCTAATTATTCTAATTTACTAGCATTATTAGCAGTAAACCATAACAACTATTAATATCACCCTAACGCTAATAACTAAATTCCCACTGCTTCAAACATGCAAATCGGATGAAACAGAGCAGAAGTAACAATCCCCATCAGTACATCCACTCCTGCGGAAGGAGCCTTTCTTGGTTCAGACAACCGCCATGAACTCGCCTCAGTCCTCCTCCTTGTCGGACCGACAATCCACTTCTACTCGGCACTGCAGAATCGAACTGGTGGTGCCCGGACGAGAGACAAGGTCGTGAATGAGGAGACAGGTCGTCGAACTCGTCAAAGTTCACGTTCTGTGGGTAACCCTTTGACGGGAAAACAACATTCGAACCGCCTGTCGTGATATACCAGAAAAAGTGTCAAATTTTTTACTCGAATACTTGAAACAAGACGCAACATGTAATGCAATTTCCCGAAACCCATGAAAAGAAAATTGCAGGGAGAAAAATTACGTGCCTGATTTCTTGCGTGAATCTGATGGGTTTGTGTATCGCCTGGGAAGAAATACACCCGTTCCCACCGATGGCCGTTTCGGGGCAGGCAGTACCGGAAAAACACTTCTCACGGCGGAGGAAGCTTGATGCGGCGGCGGCGGCGGTGGAGGATGGCGAAACGCGGCAGGCCTGACGAAGCGGCCGTTTCCACGGTCGAAGCCGCTGGAAACGCTCTCCGGAAACTGCAGCTCCGGTGACTTGAATTTCAACAGAGACTGATAATACGAGCTCTTCGGATTCCACACCCAGTCTCCATAAAACAGCTGATTTGATTCACTCTCTTTACTCAGAACCTGGCAAAAAAAAAGAAGAAAATAACCAATGTAAATACAAGAACAATTGTAAGCTATTAGCGTTATACAAATGCTTTTCCATAGTACGTTTTTTGGACAAACATACCTGACTGGACTGGTTCAGGTCAGAGTAGAGCTGTTGAAAACCAAGACCCGAGCTAAACGCAGCGTTATGAGGGTTACTGTGGCGTAGGGCAATGGGTTCTGGTGTCGGAGCTTGACGACGGAGAAGAGGATTAGGGTTTGAGTTTGGGCGGCTGAACCATGGTTCACCGCCACCGCAGCCAAATTTCAGCTTTGCCACTTGCCCTGCCGCAGCAGAAATGACATCCCAAGCGTCATCCTTTCGAAACGGCGTCGTTGGCGGCGAGGGAGCCTGAGAAGACGGTCTATTCGGACTCCCACTTCCAGACGCGGACCAGCTTCCGAGTCCACTCAGTGTTGACTGGGGAGAGGTCGAGACAACTTGGCGCTTCTCCTGAAGAATAACAAAACCCTGAAACCGTGAGTTCCGTGACAGAGAGAGAGAGAGAGAGAGAGAGAGAGAGAGAGTTCTTACCTCGGTTTTGTGGCTGATGAAGGAGGGAGGAGGGAGACGCTGAGTCGAGAGGGCGAGTCGACGAGTCAACCCAGCGAGGAAGTCCTCTTCGTCGTCGCAGCTATCATCCTCCGTCTCGGTGGAGTCTCCGGGCGAGGTGAAGGCGGAGGAAATGGTCGGTGAGTCGAACTCGAACGGGAATTCGCGGGGGAAACCGAGTAGACTCGAGGTGAGCCCGTCTTTCGAGCAGAGCGCTTTCTCCACGGTAACATTGGCGGCGGTGAGACTCACCGGAATCTCTTTGCCGGCAGGAGGCTCGGCCATGGAGAGAGAAAGAAGTGTGAAATTTGAAAGTGTTGTTGAGGAAGGAGGTAGGGAATGTTGAAGACAGAGCGCCTTTATTAAGGTTTCAGGGTTTCAATGAGACAGCTCAAAAGCATTATAAAAACTTTCAATCTCCTCTCTTTCACTGTTTTAATAATCCGTAATTCATGCCAGACAGTCGAAAATCATTACAAAAAAATTTAAATATTTGGACTGAAATGGTGAATAATACTTCTGCTGAGTCACACAATTTCAAAACCCAGAAAAAAAAATTTATGTTTAAATATATATAAAAAATTGCTAGTTAGAAGAACATTTTGGAGAAGTTGTCAAGGTAACAGGTGGATTTTAGGTAACGATAATTATAGAAACAATTTAAATTCACGCGAAGAGTGTAATTTTCTAAAAATTCAACATTTGTGTGCATGTTAGGTGATTATTCCATTTATCTTTATTTGGATTATCATTATCACCCATTCCAATAAAATTTCTGATTGCGACTTGTAGTTCCTAAAATCTCTAATTAGCATTGGATATTACACAAATTATATTAATTCAATCACCAATAAATTAAAAATACAAAAAATACGTAAAACAAAGGAGAAATAAAATACCAATAATAACTCCTTTAGATAAATACTTCTCTTCATTTTCTTACTTTAGATTTTTTTTTTCATTTTAACTTAATTACCATTTTTAACTTTATAACGCATAAATAAGAAAAGTATAATTTTATTTATATTATAAACATCGTTAATATTTAAATTACAGAAGCATGGAAAAAATTTACATATTTTTTTTTTCTATTTTATAAAAAAAAATGGTGTGTATATGTAATGTAGTGTAAGAACTCATTTAATTTGTGTGCCATTGAATGGCGAATGAAAAGCATCCGACATATCATCATTACGCCTTGCTTTCTTTTCCTCATGCAAAATCCTATCATCTCATCATTTGTACTCTCACATTTTTTCCACCTCTCTCATTAATAATAAAAAATAATGCTCCTCTCATTTTCATTTTAAATTTTTACATTCGTTTATAGTGAACATTATCTTACATATATATATATATATATATATTGAATTATTTTGCAATGCCATTGGCAATATATTTGATTTTTAGTAGTTTTATAATCTCTCCATTGTTTGATTCCCACTTCTATGCATTTAATTAATTTCTAATAGTTGTTAGACTAAAATATTGAAATCAATTTCAATTGGTTTAATCGAATTCGAAAAAAACACCAAAATAATTTTTATATTTTTTTTAATGTAGATCTATATAAAAACATGTAACGACCGGTTTAACCAAACAAGTCGGTTTAAATTTGGGTTTTTTTTTTCGGGTAACCTTAGAAAGTCGCAACCGACCCCTATCTCAATTAGGGTTTCTTTATGAAATAGCCGTCACACAGATCTCGTGAACGCATCTGTCACTAGAGCACCGCCCTTATCTCTCCGAGGAATCCGAATCTAGCTGACGTGGCACTCTCCAAGATTCAGCAGCCTTCAACAGCCTTCCGTCATCTCTAACGACTTGTCTTTTCATCCGTCAATTTTAACGGTGTTTTGCTTAATGATCGTCACGAGAGACGAGCCTTCGTTAACGGGAGTTAGACGCCGGACCCCAAGCCTCTTTATTAACCGGATTGGATAATGGAGTTTCCCGCCTAGAAAGACGGATATTTTAGAGTTAAAAAAAAAGCGGTGGGACCCAGGTTTTATCTGTCGAAACAGACAGCACCGTTAAGTCAAAAGGAGCGGAACAGATCTTCTTCTTCTTCTTTTCTTTCGTAACATTTTAATAAAACATCTGACAAAACAAATGAAATAAATAATTACACATAATTTCTAAGAAGAAATAAGAATTCTGGAGCAGTTTGGATGTTATTTCATTATATATATGTATATACATCTTTTTGCCTTCTAAAGACATAGAGATACACTCAAACTTTATAATTTATATTCTCTTTAATTTGAGCGCCACATAAATTTGAATAAATTGGAATATAAACACATATATATATATAAGCAGCAATCCATTGAAATATTGTAGTATATTCCGTAATTTACGACGGAGTTTGGCAGTTTTTCCAGTCGCCAGCGAAACTACAAAACCAATTATAGGACGCGGTGTGTAACACGCGCTTTAGGAGCGCGTAAAAAGAGAGAAGGATTATGACAAGAAGCGGGTTTACTGTAAGGTGGGTTGGGTTGGGTCTGACATACAGCTTGCACAGACTGTTCTTCTCGCTGGCTTTATTTTCCTAAATGAACTCCTCCAAAAATCATACAAAATAATAAATAAATAAATAATTATAATATCTGGATTATTATTATTATATTAACAAATTAATAAAATTATTTGTTCTACACTGAGATTAAAAATGCTCATAAAATTAATATGTATGCCGAGGAAAAGAAAACAAATTGAAGAGGACTTGCTCTAAATTCCCTCAAAAAAATTTAATTTCGAATTTCCCGCCAAAAGATAGCGAATTGGATATACTATCAACCATCAATTTCGAAATGTCAAATCCATCCATATTTTTTTTGATAAATCCATCCATATAATTTCAAATCCATTAAATTACGGTATTCGATTCTAATGATAATGCATGCGTGTTATTATGTTTTGAGATTTTTCTTCTCGTTGGTTCAAATTAAAAAACATGAAAATGGTATCACTACCTTAGCCAAGGGATTACAATTTGTATAAATTGACGTTGTTCTCTATTTATTGTTAGAAAATATTAAATTGTATTGCTATCTCATATATATATATATATATATATATATATAGAATGATTGAGGATAACATATGATGTGGAAGTTTACTTTAACAATCAATATTCATTAGGGAAAATTATAACAGAGAAAGAGAGCTGATTAGTGAAGTGTATGATTTCACGAAGAATAAACTTATAAGACACGCAAAATAGAAAGGAGGGTTTGGTACCCGTAATGATAATTCGGGAAAAAAAAAAGGATCCTTATTAACCGAAGATCTTTCTTTTGTGGATCCTATTAAATGGTGTTGTGTGCGTGGACCCACGTAATAATTTTTTATTAGGTAGATAGTAGATGATAGAATATCATTGATTTGCTTCCATGACATTTTAAATTAAATTTAATTTCATCTAAATAGACAGGTCAAACTAATTATAAAAAAAAACCCATGTATGCACTTTGAGATTATTATTTTTTGCATATATAACACTCTCGATCAATTTAAACGATTTAAAAACAACAAGATTATTTGAATTCGATTCTAACTAGGTATAAAATAAAGATAAAACTCTTAAAAAACCTCCAACTTGCAAAAATATATACAAATAAACCTTCAATTTTAAAAACTATCATTCAATCCCCGAACTTGTAACTTGTCACTAAATAAAACCTCGAATTTGTAAATTATTTCTCTAATAAACATTTGACCGATTTGACCACAATTTCAGGCGATCGGAAATCCACGTATTAAAGGATTGCTAATATCACCTTATACACGTTATCAATTTTAATTTAAAAAATGATATCACCAATCCGTCAATACGTGGATTTCCGATCGTTTGAAATTGTGGTCAAACCGGTCAAAAGTTTATTATAACAATAATTTACAAGTTCGAGGTTTTATACAGTGACAAGTTACAAGTTCGGAGATTGAATTATAGTTTTTCAAGTTGAAGATTTATTTGTATATATTTTTACAAGTTGAAGGTTTTTTAGAGTTTTAATCTGTTTGCGTTTTTTTTTTTGGGTGAGATTTTGCGAAAGATGAAACACAAAGATTCTTATTTGGTGATATTATCGAGTAATTGCGTATGAAAAAAGCAAAAGGGGGAGGTCCAAGTTCTATCATACCACACCACCACATCCACATGCATTAAAGGGAATGAGAAGGAGTTCGTCCACGTCGACTAGGGTTTGCATGCATGCACGTGCGATGCCAACTGTTGCACTGTTTCGCACGTGCGACGCAGGTACATCGTTGATTCGGACTTCGTTACTCCACCGGTTGATCAGTCAACGGTCAAAAAAACCTCGGCATAAGTACATCATCATCTTCCCTTTCTCCATTAGTAAAAAAAATTCCTTCTCGTACAGTTGGCCGTTTGATTTTTTTTTTTTTGTATTTTGCTGCATAGAAAGGATGATGCATGTATATTTTAAATACTTGAAAAAACTCATATCCACAAATTGATGATTATCGGAGAGTTAATATAATTCTAATTACAGAATTATACTAAATCTCAACCTGTTTTTACTAAAATAAAACTCCAACCAATTATTACGACAAACGGTCGATAAATTTCAAGTGTTCCGCGTGATAAAAATTCCATCAATCCGCAAACAACCAAAAAATGATTCGTTTCGCGGTTTATCTTAATATTCTAATAAATAATTAAGATTAATAAATTTGAAATAAATATACTAGCATTATCTCGATCGTCGTTGTATGTATGTTTCATTGCCATGCAACCGAACATTCTTGGTCAAATGTGATAACATAAGATATGAGTTCAAAAAGCAAGAACCAAACTCGAAAACATGCATGGTCCGTTCAGATAATGCAAATCATTACGTTAGCATATAAAGAGTGAATTCTCGAATTTCTTTGGGGTTTTCCCTTTGTCTTTTTAGCACCTTTGATTTTTTTCTTTCTCCAGTTTTCTTTGTATTTGCATGTTTGGAATTTTATTGTTTAATTTTTTTTTATAAAAAATAAATAAATTTGAATGGATTTATAGAAAGTAACATGACAATGGTTTGGTTCATGTCCACATCTTAACATGCATGGCTTCGGTTAGATAAAGATGTGAAACATTGGCTTTTTTTCATAATACAAGTATGACTAGTGAATTCCATCTCGGTTTGTAAGATGGAGAATCATTGGATTTCTCATTATATAATATAAAATATTACAACATTTATAATAGAAAACGAAATCAAAATCTCTTATTTAATAAATATAAATATCTAAAATATAGAAATAAAACTAAATCTAAATATTATGTAATCTTCTCAAATCTTTTTCATATCTCTTTATACGTCCCCTCAAATTCAAGGAGATAAGAAACAACTCTTTGAGGTTGAATTTTCAAAATAATAGCGGGATTTGATAATCGAACTAGGGTAAATAGTGGATTATTGGCGAATCTAAAAAGTCTGGTGTGACGCAGAAACGTGGTGTAGATGCAGGATGATGAAGATGAGTAACACGACAGTAATGTTGACGGCGCAAAAGGCGCGATGGTTTAGCGACTATGTCGGAAAAAAGAAAAGTGGTGCAAATGCGCGTGACTAAAGCCGGAAAAAAAAAGAAGAAAAAGAAGGTGGTGTAAATACGCGGATCGACGATTGATTATTCCAATCGAAGAGGTTAAAAGCCGGGTTTAAAAGAGATCTTTATGATGTTTAGTCGTACATACTTTGATACTAGAGAAATAGATGGAGAATCATTGGATTTATTATTATTCAACATAAAACATTACAACATTTATAATAAAAAACGAAATCACAAAATATCTTATTTAAGAAATATAAATATCTAAAATATAGATTTAAAACCAAATCTAAATATTACGTAATCTTCTCAAATCTTCTCGATATCTCTTTATATGTCTCGTTCCAAACTAAATTGAACATAAAGACATCGAAGCTAGTTTCCAATATAGCATACAGTAAGCAAGCCATTGAGGGAAACAAGTGTGTGTGTATATATATATATAAAGAATAAACTATAGGGTGACTAATTCACTAACCAAATTGAATCGGACTATATGTATATATCTAATCTTACTAAAAGCGAGCTAGTTTTTAAAAATAAGGGCGGAGTAGTAGATGAAGGCCCAATAACACCATAAAATAATTATGAGAACGATCAGAGATGATAGAGCCCATCACTGAGATGGACCGACGCTACAGTGATCCAACCGATTTTATTTTTCAAAAGCCCTTTTTGGTTTATCTCTTTCATTTCTTTCAAGTTTCATATCCCAATATATATATATAGGGATGGACAAACGGTTCGATTCGTTTTGGTTTTATATACTTAAAAAAATATCAGTATGGTTCAGTTATAATATTAAAAACAATTGAAATGTTGATAATAAAAAAATATTCAAACAAAAACAAGATAAAATATAAAATATTATCACTATAAACATATAAAACAATAAAATCTAAATTTATATTATAATTTATTTTTAGGATAAAAATAACAAAATAAAAGTTTTTGGATAAATTTTACCCTTTTCAAATGTTCAGTACAAACCTTAAAAATAGTAAAATAATAACGAAATAAATTGAAAATAATAAAACAATCATTACATTAGAAAAAAAATATATATCTCAATTTTTTATATACCATAGTTATCATTATACTAATTTTTCTAATTAGATTTAGTATATATTGTATATTAATTGGTGATAAATAGACAGATAAACGGTTATATTCGGTTTATTCGAAATGATTAATTCAGATTCGCTTTATCTAGTTTACGATTATTTCGGGTTCAGTTATTTCGTATTTTAAAAAATCATAATCAAATAGTTAGTTAATTTTGATCGGTTCGATTCTGTTCGGATATATATCGGTCGATTCGGTTAATAAGCGAACTGAAGTTGAAGCGATTCGTAGTTTGGGCGATGTGATATATGTTCCATCACTATTATATGTGTTTTGTGTTTTGATGAGTAAAAGTGGTACGAATTTGGGATATTAGAATGCATCCAAGCTACTAAAAGAATCATAGAAAACATGCAAACCTTATTAGACATCATATTAAATTTTATTCACCAGCATATGCAGCTTTAACGCATTTATTTATGATTTTTTTAACCATTAAAATCATTTTTAAATGGTTATACACGTACTACCTAGGTTAACATCTCCATCCTCCATTTTGTCCATTCCAATAATCAAATTCATTTCTTCTGAAGAGTTCCAAATCTTTTTTGTATAGCCTCCTTCATGTCTATAAAATGTTTTCCCACGACTCATGGGAGAAAAAAACATAAAATTTTAAAAATACTATATAAAAAATGAATTTATCTCTAATTTCCAAATAAAATATAGAATTATTCTTACTTTTCAAAAAATTTCCTACGGATATTAGATAATAATATAAAATTTCTAAGATGTTTGTTTTATCTTGTAATTAGTAATTACTTGATATGAAAATTTTTAAAATCATATTTTCCATGATTTTTTTTGTTAGGTACACATGAATTTTCCAACACCGAAATCAGTTTCTAAGATACAACGGCCGTGTTGTATTCATTGGCGGATCCAGAATTTTTTTAAAATGGGGGCAATAATTATAAATTTTATATAAAATACAAAAACAATTAAAAATAATAAAAATATATCGTTATAAAAATATTCATATGTTCTATAACTGAATTTTATAGTCCTTCGCTTTTTAATATATTTATAATAACTTTGTTTTTAACCATCTAAAAATATATCATTTTTCGGTTAAATAAATTAGACAATCATTCAATCACTAATCCAATTGCACAACATTATCTTCGCAAAGTTTATCGCTAAAAACATCTATCAACAGTAATAACGAATAAAATTAAAACTAATTTCAAAAGTCTGTATATCAATAGATATGAAAGATGTTTTTTGGTTTATAATCTTCTATCAAATTATCGATGCAGATAAATATATAAAATAATAAATTTATGAGTATAATCAAAATATAAAAAGTAATAAAAAAAAAAAATAAGAATTAATTAAAATAAAAATCATAACATTTATATACTTTTAATTTTATTGTTAACAAAATTGATTGTTTTTTGTGATTGAATATTAGATTTGTATATATTTTTTAGAAAAATATAAATAATTAAAAAAATAGATAAAAAAATCAAGAGTAAAACAAAACTAGATAATTGTTTGATCCAAAGAAATAATTTAAAAAAAAATAGAACGAAGGGGGCCATATAACGTTTATATAGGGGGCATTTTACATTTTTTTATTAAAATTTTATAAAATTTATAACTAAATCAATTTTTTTACCTAAATTAAATTAGTGGGGGCATGGACCCCACTCCTATGTACCAAGATCCGCCCATAGTTGTATTCACATTTTCGTAGCGAGAAGAGAGAATAGATTCGCTCCTTGACGATTTTTACGCAGAAACATCGCGTCTCATAACTTCTCTGCTGGATTCTTGATCGAATCCATGGACCTTTTAACGGAGTACGAAGCTGATGATGAGGATATGGGAAATCAAGTTGAAGCATCCATAGAAAAACTCACTCGTCTCTCTATGCGGAGCTGCAACAGCCAGGGAGAGAATGTCTCTTTATAGTCATATGAATGATCACCAAAGAGAGCAGAAAGCCTGTTCCTTTTGCTTGAAACAGCGGCTCCCATGCCTCAGAAAAAACAGCCTTGGACTTCAGCAAGATTAACTTCATCAACCTCACATTCATCACTTTCACGTATACAGATCTAAAGTGGGCACTTGCAGAATCTGGGAAATCGATTCGAGTTCTCGACGGGAAAGAGATGAATGAAGAATATAGATGTTTACCCATAAACATCAAAGTCGTTGTAGTATAGTGGTGAGTATTCCCGCCTGTCACGCGGGTGACCCGGGTTCGATCCCCGGCAACGGCGATAATTTTTATCCTTTGCAATTTTTTCCAGATTATTTTCATTATTTTTTCCTTCCTCTTTTTTTGTTTTGGTTTCCAAACACTTTCAAAATTCAAATCCCGGTGTGGATGAGATATTGCATAACAAAAATCTACTTATTAATATTTTCCTCTACAATTTGTATGATCGTTACATATTTAATTATGTAATAATTCTATATCTGTACAATTCCTTTTTTTTTTTTACATAGAGTTTAGTCAGCGAAAATTGAAACCCAAAATTTCCTTCAGTTTTACCATTAACTAATAGATTTTTATGTAAATAGTTCAAATCAATTGATTATATATATATATATATATATCTTCCATACGATGGATTATATCGACCACCACTTTCTTCCTTTCCTCGTATCACAAAGAAAGGTCAAATAAGAAGATAAAACCATAATTGCGGTGTTGTCTTGTAATGATATAATACATGGTCATTTTTTTTCATAAGATAAAAAAGGGAAATTACATGAAGTAGCAGCCAGATAAGGTTATATATATATATATATATATATTATATATATGTGAGGCTAAGTATAATTTAAGTAGATAGATCAGAAGTTAAAAGTGTTCATCATAAAGTGACCCTAAGTGTTGCCTTTTGTCGGAAACAAAAAGAATCAGTACATTGTCGAGAACGAAGTCCCCACACCTTTATGCTATATACTTTCACATATTCTTCGTTAAGAGATCCACTCCTACGTTTCCTGCATAATTCACACGCATATATAGAACTGTATATCAATTATTGAGTCAAGGGTAAATAAAAACCCTAAATATGCATCTCTCTTGAAATTTAAATAAAGTCAAATTTCAGAGAAAAACCTAAACTTGTTTTATAGTACTTATAACTCTAGCAGAACTCACTTATAGTCTATATATATATATATATATATATATATGTGTGTGTGTGTGTGTTATTTGCTAAAATTGTTTCAAGTCAGATTTATTTTTTTAAAATTAGGACATAATTAATTAGTAATCCCTTAGATAAGGATAAGAGATACAGTTATGTAAATGCTTTCATGGAATTCATTGGCTTAAGTTTGTGTAAGTACCTTAGCAGTTATGGATGAGTTAGGTCTGTCAGTAGTAAAGCGACCCTGCAACACCATAAAAGATTCTTATTATTCAATAATAATATATAATATGTGTGATGAATTTTAAAAAAAAAATTATGATAAATTTAAGCATATATATATATACACGATAGAAAAATCATCTCACCTTCCCACCAGTTTCCTCTTGACGCACTTTTTGAGTCGCCTTGATCTTCTCCATCTTTCTTGAACTGAACAAGTACATATAAATATAAATATAAATCTACATATGTATATGTTTTTTTTTGTTAAAAACATATATATGTATATGTATATATATGTAGGATAGCACTTTTGGTACGCATAGTAAAACTATCCTTATTTAGCTTTTTTGGGTTTACGTCCATTATATTCGTTGCATGTCGACACATAAGAAAATTGGAATAATACACATACACACATACACACACACACACACATATATATATATATATATATAACTTACAGAATTTGTGGAAGTTGGTGCTATTGGAGAATAATTCTCTTGGCCTCCATAGTAAATGGATGAACTCCAGTTGCAAGGTTGTGCTTCTTCACCCCGGTAATTTCCACTGTTCCTTTCTCCTCTCTCGCTCCGGCCACCTTCATCTGCATATATATCAGATTAACAAAATTACACACACACATACACACACATACATACATACATACATACATACACACACACACATACATACATACATACATACATACATACATACATACATACATACATACATACATACATACATACATACATACATACATACATGCATGCATACATACTATTATATAATATATCTAAGTTAAACAAGAATAATTAGTTAGAATAAGTAACTAGATACTTGTTCGTGGGAGCGAGAATCTTAACTCACATATATTCCTTTGCTAACCAAAAAAAATCTATGAAATAGTAATTACTTGGAGAGTGATATTTCCCGTCTCCAACTTGACTTGCCAAACCCACATGCCTTCCCATACCCTTCAGGCCACATTAATGAGAGCAAAGAAATCATATTAAAAAACCTTCGTGTCTTTTTTCTTGGTGTATACATGTATAAATGCATGTATAGATTGATGAATAAGTATATATGTACATCTATCCATGCAGAATATAATTTGTTAATTAGAGTGTACCGGTGAGGGTGGTGGGAAGATGGACTTAAACAGTCCTGTGGTTGATGAAGATGTCGACGAAGAAGATGAAGAAATGCCTCTTGGACCAAAAAGATGATCAAGGGAGGATGATGACGACGACGAGTAAGAAGGGGAAGACGAAGCAACCGCCTTTTTCTTGTCCATGGCCGGTACGTGAGATGTTAAAAGGGGTGTGTATATATAGTAGTTACGTGGGCTTGTATATATGTGTGTGTGTGTAAGTATATATATATGTGTATGATTAAAGCTTCTTTTTTGTAACGTGAACCAACGGCCTTGGGATGCCAAAACGAGAAAGGCAAAGAGAGGGATAAGATTTGTAGAGAAAAGCTAAGAAACGAGAGAGAGAGAGAGAGAGAGAGAGAGAGAGAGAGAGAGATGTTAATTAGGAGACACGTGAAGATTTGCAGTGGTTTGTGTTGGGAGGCATGGGACTTACTGTCTCTGCCTATTTATAGCCTCTAAAAAGTCCAGGAACATTGTGCATATGGCCGGCGATAACTTACTTGGCACACGTTTTTTTTATCAAATAAATTCTAATTATTATATTGTTGAGGGGACGTATGTTCATATATTTACCACCGAACCAATCTCTGCAAAAAGTATTTGGATCGACGATTTTTTTGATTGATGGGGCTATATATATGGACCCTCTGAGTTATGTTTAAAATTGTATAAGAATGATAAAAAAATATGTTATTTTTGTGTTAAAGTTATGATTTTCAGTGATACAAGTTTTCTTAAGGGAGTAAATCAATAACATAATCTCAAAACATATGCCCATGAACATCATACAGAGAATGCTATACGACGTTACATTGATGAAAATGGAATGTTCCCATTAATCAAGTGGCTGTTCATGCAAGTTGAACATGCTTATAGGGTTTGAATCTCTCTATATATGCTCCGTATATGCCAAATACGATGTGAAGATTCTTTGTCGATGATATGAAAAACAAGATCAAAACAAAATAAATTGGCTTACATAGTTATCGGTTTTCGGTAAAACAAGCCTTTTATTCACTTGATGTTTACTTTGTGTCGGTCTCCTTATATGAGAGATGTCGGTCCATCGGGATATATTATATCGACGATGACAACACTCATGTGATCATCTATTCTTTATACTTGTCGTAACGGTGAGGGACGGTGAATTCGAAGGCTTTACCGAAGACAAAGGGCGTGAACGAGAGATTATACAATGGCTAATAATGGAGGCATATAAACAAGTTGTGCGGGTCGTATTCATACATAAGATACTATATAGATGATATAATATATTTCTTACCAACCTCATAGAGAGAAGAGATCTTTTTTTCCATGTATATATATATATATACACACATATATGCACATATATATAAAGATTATATATATTGACTTGCAATGGTAAGATGGAATATAGGACCAAAGAGACGGATAGTGTCAAGTTGGGTTAACCAAATACAGTGACGGGAGATGCAATGAACACACAAGCATCGACATCACAAAGGGTTGACTTATGTTCTTGTTGTTCCTATTACCCAGCCATACTTAGAAGATTCACCCTTTGCAAGTTGCAGAGTGTGAATATTATGAAAAAATATCTTGAATGTTCGTTTTTTTTAATTATATATATATATATATATATATATATATATATATATATATATTATGCATGCGTTTCCATCTTAATTATGTTCAAATGATCATCTTATTCATGTAATATTCGGCGCTCAATGTTACTCATATACTCAAAGTCACATCGACCGTTTCTAGAACTAGTTGGGGGCAAGTATCACAGTCATCAATCATGGTTAATCACTTGATTTATATATAAAAAAAAGTCTTAAAAAGAACGTAAAATAAAATTTCAAAATAGTTAAATGGTTAGAACAAGGTATTTTTTCTACTTGAAAACATGAAATGGGAGTTTCACAAGCTTTTTTCCTAATAAAAAAGATTTAAATAACTTTAAGTTTTAGCCAATTTTGATAACCAAAACTTTGAAGGAGAGACTAATAAATTTTAAATTGACTAATATAAAATTGTAAATGATTAGAATAAGGTGTTTAGATTCATTTCACAGTTTTTTTTAAAATTATCGTTGAGGATATGGCCTGAACCTTTAAAAGTCGATATATAGATCTCGAACTACTCGTACTTAGAGGGTTAATATATCTACAGTTTGAATCAAATCGAGACTAAGAATCTATTTTTTACATTTTCATCAAACAAACATATGAATTTTAACCAATCATATATAAACAATTGATGCCGTTATATTAGACATGACGATGGCTTTCGAGTACTAATATTCCTATTATTTTTGTGGTTTTTTATTTATTGACCGATCAAACACAACACATCACTTGTACATGGGAGACACATTCAAGCAAGATCCAGACAGTTCCATGCAAAGAACAAAGCCAAATCAAAAGAAAAACAAAACCAGTGGCACAGATTACTCACGCAAAGAATAATTCCACTGCAGAACAAAAAACATGTATATAATTATGCGTAGCTTGAATGGTAAAAAAGCCAGGGAGAGAATGTCTCTTTATAGTCATATGAATGATCACCAAAGAACCCATGTCAAAGAATTTTCCCACGTGTCCAATGGAAACGAAATCGAGAGCAAATTATGAAGAAATTCATGAACAAAACTCAAATTGTGATGATGGATGGATCATCAAGAGCCATTGACATGAAGAATGTCAAAAGGGGAATATAAGAGAATTGCAGCCTTTTCGGGTGGATAGAGAGGGGATTGGATCCTTTTCTTCTGCTAGGTTAGAGCCACAATTTTAGGTTTAAAGTGTTAGGGGACCTAGAAAAAATTATAAATGAATGCAAAACTTAATTTTATCGTATGACAAACATAATTTTATGATAAGGGCATTCGACAATTTTGTTAAAAATCTTATAGATTTTGTAAAAAAAATATTTTTTTAATCAAACAAATTGGGACATATACAACATATACCGGTAGATGCACCGCTTAGAAAAATTGAGAGTATAGAAATAAAGGTGGAGAGAGAAGGAAGATGCAGACTTAAACTTATTTGAGAACGAATCATTAGAAATGAATTAGAATTATTGTAAATTCCGAAAGAGTTAACTCAAAACCGAAATGAGTGAAAAAAAAGATTCAGGCGATCGACCTAAAATAAATTTGGGACTAAAGCGATGTTGAAATAAATTGAGGTATATGCCTCCATTCATATCAAATTGGGTATGCAAGAAGCTATCTTCGAACATTCTCTCTCTTATTCTGTTGTTTAACCTTGGACCAACAATATATATATATATATATGCACTCTAAATATCTTTTTTTTTCCATCATTTTCACAACATGTGATATATTTTCTACACATTCCACTGCTTCTGATCCGATGAAAGAGTCTATATATTGAGTGCCAATAATCATTTACTTCGGAAATATAATTTCGTACGTGATTTTGTACTACGTAAATGTTTTGAGCTACTTGTAAATAGTAAAATGTAATCGAAAAAACGATTATTGACTCAGCAGTGTTTACTGCTAAGTGATGACACTGATATAATATTATGTTTATTATTATTTCTAATCATATTTTAAAATTAATATTTCTTTCAATCACATATTTATTTTCCTATTTCAAAAGAAAATGTCACTATAGTGCGGGTACAAATTTTATTTAATCACCTCTCTCTTTCCCCCTTTTTTACTGTCCATGATTTTTCTAGTAGACAAGAAATAGAATATGTCGTATGTGCGATGTGTCTTTCGAGACATGGAAGCAACAAGGCGACACTGATTCAGTTTATGGATGGGACAAATATAAAAATGTCTCAATGGAATTGGATCAGCTCCACCAACAAATATTGCAGTCCACCCAATATCCAAATTATATAATTGGAGACTATAATTCAATTTGATGCCCATAATGCCGTAAATGGAATTTTAGAGAATGTTAGTTAAATTGAAATAAATAAATAAAATCCAGGAATTTTGTATCCCTCGCAGCGGGTCAACCCGATATGGGGATTTGAATTGGTTCATCGCGGCCGTCAACGAGTTGGGAGCGAGTCAGAGTCGACGAGGGCCCGGTGCCGATGGGATTTAACGAGCTGACTCGCAGCTGGGACGGAAGTGAGTTGGGGACTCGGAGAACTCGCTGTCCGGGGGTTCTTGATAATGGGTCAATGGGGCTTGAGAATATCGGCCTGTTCTCTCTTTATTGGGCCTTATAGAGCCTATTATTTGTATGATTAAATCGGTGGGGCCCACATTTTTAAAAAAATAATTTTAAATTCTATTTTGTAATAATATTTATTAAATAATTAAAACTATATTTTACAGTTTTATAATTATTATAATTAATAATTACAATGTTTTAGTTATTCTTTTTAGCTTTATAATATTAAAATTATATTTAAATATTTCAAAAATATTTTGTTTAATATAATAAAAATAAAAAATATTTTGTATGGACGCGAAAATATTTGAGAGTGCTGTAAATAGGAGGAATAATTAATTAGCGTGTTATTTTTTTTTCAGAACATTCTGACAATACAAAGACATATTTAGATTTGATGTCACTAAGGAAATTAAATTTACAAGGAAGTCCGGGAACATGGTGTAGTTCTTTTAAGTTTCATAATTATATATGAATTTTATATATGGAAGTCTAAGGACATTTTTTCATAATTAAGGACGTTACAAAGCCATACGTGAAAAAAGGAAGACGAAAATCATTGGTTAAATGAATTGGGAATACCTATGCTATATGATTTACTTCCTTGGACCTTCTGAATTCCTTTTTCGCCTGCGTATTTACATAATTTTATTAGAATATAATCCGATCATAAATTAATACATATCCCAAACATTTATATTCTTTTTTTTTTATCTGAAAATCTTGAGTTTTACCAAATTTTAATTCATGAAAATTTTAAGGTAATGTTTTTTGTTTGTGTTATATACCTCTTAATTCATTTGCCTCTTCATCAGTGAGTCTAGCCGCAAATCCAGCGATGACTATCTTGTAGCAGTATACTAAAGCATCTTCCGGTGGGCTGAAAAAATATATATATATAATTTATATCCAATATAACTATTGCATATAATATATAAAATAGATAAGCATGACCACAAATATTATTATGTACTTTTTACAAAAAAAAAACATATTATTACATACAAAATTAAATTTTAAAAAAAATGATTCCCTGCCGTGAAGAACCTTCCCGAGAACCGAGAGAAATTGGTTACAGTTTTTATATACTGTGGGATCAGTAAAAACTATATAAACCTGCATTTCATCAATGGCAATAAAATATTATATTAGGATAAACTATATAATAATGATATTATTAGCTGTGAATAATTAAATTTGTATATTGTAAGCATATATATATATATATTATATAAAATCACCCTTAAAAAAACTATGAATAATATAATCGTAATCCATTCATGCATGCCTTTCTCGACCCATTAGGAGATGGTGATGGCTCCATAGCTTTTATCGAACAAATGCACACCAAAATTGCAAATAAAACCGACAAAACTCGGGAAGACATCTTTCGACAAATATTTTCTTAAAAAAGGGGGAAATTATATTTATTTTTATAGTGATATATTTCGTTTTGGGAAAAGAGATATATATATAGTAAAACAAGAATGGACGTTAGTATTTTGGTGTTATTAAACGGATGAAACCATAATCTCCTTTTTTATTAATTTAGGACCCATATTAATTAATTTATTGACTATATTTTCTTCCTTAAGTTTATATTTTTAAAATAAAAGAAAATTTAATGAATAGAATAAGTGCGTTGACTAGTTCTAGCATTTAATAAGGTAATAGATAGAGGTTTTAATTATTTTCGAATTAAATATTGTTCCGTTTGAAAAAAAAAAATAATTTCCGTTGAAATTCAGTTTTAAAATTGTGTAAAAAATCTATATTTCAAAAATATCTCAATGGAATTGGCTCAGCTCAACCAACAATTATTGCAATATCCAAATTATAAATGGAGACTAATTCAATTTGATACCCCCAATGGCCTAAATGGAATTTTAAAAGATGTTGGTTAAATTGAAATAATAAAAAAAATTAGGAATTTTGTATCCATCGAAGCGGGTCAACTCGGTATGAGGATTTAGAATTGGTTCAGAGCTGTAGTCAACGAGTTGGGAGCGAGTCGGAGTCAACGATGGGATCTACCGAGCTGACTCGCAGCTGGGACTTGAGTGAGTTGGACTCAGAACTCGCCGTCCGGGTTTCTTAAATAATGGGCCGATATCACAATGAGGCTTGAGAATATGGGCTTTTAATCTCTTTATCGGGCCTTCTGGAGCCCATTATCGGCATGTTTAGATTAAGATTAGCATTAATATTCTTTTCCGTGTTTTACTTTTGAGAGGAATTATTAATTAGCGTGTGGTTTTCAATACATTCTTAAGACAAATTAAGATTGATGTCATTAAGGAAATTAATTTTACAAGGAAGTCATGGTAACATGGAGCAGTTCTTTTTAGTCAAGCATGCTTTAAATAAATATATATACATATATATATATATATGTATATATATATATATATGTAAATAAGAGAAAGTAATGAAATCTAAAGATTGTATTAATCCATATATGGAAGTCTAAGGACATATTTTTTATAATGACGTTACAAAGCCATATGTGAAAAAGAAGACAAAAAAAATCATTTATTAAATGAATTGGGATCACCTATGCTATATAATTTACTTTCTTGGACCTTCTGAATTCCTTTCTCACCTGCATATTTACATAATTTTATTAGAATAATCCAATCGTAAAATAATACTTATCCCAAACATTTATATTCTTTTCTTATTTTTTTTATCCGAAAATTTTGAGTTTTACTAAATTTTAATTCAAGAAAAATTAAAAGGTAATATTTTTTTTGGGTGCTATACGTACCCCTTAATTCATTTGCCTCTTCATCAGTGAGTCTAGCAGCAAATCCATAGATGGCTGTCTTATAGCAATATACTAAAGCATCGTTTGGAGGGCTGAAAAAAAAAATAAAAAAAAATCAAATTTATTTTCAATATAACTATTGCATAAAATATATGTGTGGCCAGAAACTCTATTTTTTTATATTTTTTCATAAAAAAAAAAGTATGGCCAGAAATATATTTCTTTACAAAATTAAATTTTAAAAAAAATGATTACCTGTAGTGAATAACCTTTCGGAGAACCGAGAGAAAATCGTTACAGTTTTTATATACTGTTGGATCAGTTAAAACTATATAAACCTGCATTTCATCAATGGTAAGAACATATTATATATTAGGGAAAACTATATAATAAATCAGTAACAAAAAAAAACTATATAATAATGATATTATTAATCTTAATCCATGCATGCATGCATGCCTTTCTCGACGCCTGAGGAGATGGTGATGACTCCACAGCTTTTATCGAATATACGCACACCCAAATTGCAAAGAAGATCGACAAAACTCGGGAAGCCATCTTCGACAAATATTTTATTTTAAAGAGGGGGAAAATATTTATTTTTTTAAAGTGATATATTTCGTTTTGGGAGAAGATATGTGTATATATATATATATATATATATAATAGTAAAACAAGAATGAACGTTAGTATATTGGTGTTATTCAACGGACGAAACCATAACCTCCTTTGCATTAATTTAGGACCCATATTAATTAATTTATAGATTATATTTTCTTGCTCTTCTGTGGCGTTCAAAAGAAAATTTAATGAATAGAATATAGAGGTGTTGACTAGTTCTATCATTTAATAATGTGATATATAGAGGCCGATATTTAGAGTTTCGCTAGGTTTTAATTATTTTTTATTTAAATATTGTTCCGTATTAATTAATTTCCGTTCAAATTCAGTTTAAATTGTATAAAATATATATTTCTTCTGATTATTTTTATATTTGAATTTTCAGTTTTTAAAAATATTCTTGTTTTTTATATCAAATTCAATTATATATATGTATATATATATATATATATTATTCGGATTGATTTTGTATTACCAAGCTTAAATATGCAAACTAATAATCTCTTCATCAGACCAACAATGCCGTTTTTATTCGTAGGATAAACGGAACGGTTGGTGGATTAAATAAAAAATAATTCAAAATCATAAAAATATAAAATCACATTTATAAAAAGCCGTAATACAATCTATCATTTCATCCATTTATAAAACGCTTCCAACCACATATTTCATAAAAAAATAAAATAGGTTTTAGGGCAAAATAGGTTCTGCCAAACCGTTTGACATTCATAGAATTTTTTTTTTCCAGAACAACTATTATTATTTTTATTAGTATTATTATTATATGATATTTTGAGCGACAAGGCGCAGACAAGAGAACACGCACACTAAGTTTGAAAGTTTCATCATATCATTATGCACACACTGTCTCTTCCGCCCTTACATTTCCAACCCTACACACAAGAAGCCTACATACATGGGTTTGCTCCTCTTCGGCCATTTGCCCAATTTCTCGATCCCTTGTCGAGAGGAGTTCCGACTGCAGAAGCCACAATCTTCAACGGTTTGAGCCAAATTGTTGAACAATAGAGAAAAGGGTTCTGTGTAAGAGGTAACAAGAACCTTAGGGATTGATACTGGGGATGGGTACACTCAGCTTAAACTTGGAAAGTTAATGATCAAATATCAACAACAATCACGGTATAAGCAATCATTCTATGACAGAACAGAATGGAACGTAAAAAGAAGACGAGCACAGGCTCATACTGATGAATACCGGTATGGAATGTTGTGAAGAAGAAAGAATAAGCTTTCAAAAGCACTAACCTTGGTTGGATAGGGGAACTGAACTGTCAAATTTTCGCCGGCATCATGAATTTGGCCTTCTTTTCCGCCGGCTTCAGAATCTGAAACGAGCACATCAGGTTCTCGTCCACGCTCATCATTGCACCTGCATTGTCAAATTCACCACAGTAGTTGGGGGCACTAAAAATCGTCACGAGCTGCCTATCAGCAAAGAATTCATAGCCATCCTCCACGACCTGGCAAAGTAATTTGCATTTCATTGTCGGAATCATGGAATGACAGAATCGATAAAACGGGCATGGCTTTGTAAATACCAACAAATATTACCTGATGGGCACGGCATACAAGGTCTAGATCATGTTTGGTTAGAAATTCAGAGACCTTATCTGGTCCAAAGGTGTATGAAACACCTCTGTCATTCATTCCCCATCCCTTAACATCTTTCCCGGGATCAGACCAGAGCAAATCACAGAGCAGTCCTGTGTCTGGTATAGCAGTTGGACGAGGCAAGCTTCTAATCTCGTCCAGGTGGTTGAGGTCTGGTGAAAGGCCACCATGCATGCACAATATTTTGTCGTCTACAAGTGCCGCAACAGGAAGCCAATTAAAACAATCTGTAAAAACCTTCCATACTCTCACATTAAACCTCCTCTTGCATTCGTCGTAAAATCCATATATCCGGTTGATAGAAGCACACTCGTGGTTTCCCCTTAGTAGAAAAAAGTTCTCTGGGTATTTAACCTTGTAAGCAAGCAACAGACATATTGTTTCAAGGCTCTGCTTGCCACGGTCCACATAGTCCCCCAGAAACAAATAATTGGCACTTGGAGGAAAGCCACCATATTCAAACAGCCTCAGCAAATCACTATATTGCCCATGTATGTCACCTGGTTTCAAAAAAGAGCATCAACTCCAGTCAGAAAGATCATACAACAGATTGAAAATGCCCGTCGAGTGAACAGTAACAATACCGAAAATGAAAAGTGAAGCATGTTCATCGGTGCTGAAAAATAAAACAGAACTGTAAAAGCAAAAGCCGGTAGTTGAAAACTTGACGCTATCTTATAGATTGTTTACATCTGCCATCTCAGGCTCTGAATTCCTTTCAACACTACAATACATTCAACTGAAACTCCGGAACTTGCAACAGCATAAACTAAGAGTAGCTGGAAACAAATAATCTCTCTGATCACAGAATTCCTCTGATCTCTGTACACCCACCTAGCTCAGTACTCGACAGTAGACCCTTTACATCGTAAATTTAGATCATAAGTTAGATAATACAACCCACAATCAACATAAACTTGTACACTTTGGTAGCACGTAACCTCTCGAATCAAAGAATAAGTATAGAATAAACAGATTTCAAACTCAGATTCTTATCATTTCAAAACGTCAACCAATGTCGACAAATGGCCGCCGGTAATGCATAGTATTCCGACATATTCTGTATGAACCACATTCCGTTAAAATGCATAACACTCCAGCCTACCAACTTCACTCCTACCCTCTAAGCTCTAAACTTTTAGAAGAAATGAAAACTTACACAATACAAAGATGATCATGGAGTGTTAACAACATTACCCAAAAACGCATTTCACTTCTGAGCTAATGGCACTCCAGTTCAGAGTTCAAAACATATTCAGAGACAATGGATAATAACAACAGTAAGAGTCGCGAAACGAGACAAAAATGAAGCTAAGTCCTCCCAAAAACAAACCCGCGAAGATAAGGAACAAAACCTAGAATCTACAATCAGACATGAGCTCAGAAACATTTGGCATACCACAAATCTTGATGGGTGCCTCAAGCTCGAGCAGATTGGGCTGCTGAATGAAAATATCTCTGGCGGTGGCGCAAAGCTGCTTGATCTCAGCCTCAGAGAGCTGGACCTGCTTCCCCGGTCTCGCTAACCGGACCTCCGTGAGCCGCCTGATTATGTCGTCCAGCACCGTCGGGTCCATCGACGTCGGCGTCGCCATTAGAAACCCCAATTTCAACACGAACCCTAAACCGAGCCTTGAAGAAATGGAAACACTGCGAGAATGGCGTTTTCTAGGTTTTTTCTTTATCCTTTTTATTTCTCCCGGAGGAAGAAAATTATGCGTAAAGGCTTTGGATTTTATTTTGAATTAAATGGGAAAAATTAAAGATTAAAGATAATAAAAAAGAGGTGTCGGAGACGGAGACGGAGACGCTAACGGAGACCGTAACGGAGACGGTAGTGACATCAGAAGACGCGTGAACGCCTGAACGGATCAAGAAAGAGGAACTTTGAAGTTGAAACGCGTTCAAAACGCTGTCGTTTAGAGGACGTCTGATCTGAATTGACGTAACGGTTAATTATATCAATATTAGGCATGCTCACGTCGTGTAACGTTTTTTCCCCCCTTGAATGTGACTTAACTATAACCTAATTCAAACCAGTACTTAGTTCAATTATATATATATATATATATTCTAAACAACTAGGCGTGAACCGCGCGATGCACGGTTTATTCTCAATATAAAAATATAAAATATTTTTTTATTATAATATAATAAAATTCATTGATATAAACATAACACAATTTTTATGTATATATATAAGTGGAAAAATAAAAGAATATAGATAATATTATATTATTATATTATAAAATCATTTTACATATATTGGATACTAATTTTTTTTATATTTTTTATGGTGAATTGTACGTTTAATCAATATAATAGATCAGTTTTTTGATATTTGTATACATATATTCACATAATAATAATAATAATAATAATAATAATAATTCACATTAAAAAAATGGTATATATTTTATTAAATAAACTTATCTATCCATACAATATATTATGGAGAGGGTTTTTAATAAATTTTGAAAAACAAAAAATATATAAATGAGAATATAGAAATATAAAAATTATATTTCCGCGATTTGATATGAAAATGATAAAAAAAAATGTGGTCAATTCTGTGCTAATAAATATGCCGTTATATAGTCTTAATCGTTTTTAATTCCTTCATCTGTGGTATAGAATTTCACGTTACGTTATAGAAAAAACTGTGTCAAATCTTGATATGTAGCACTTAACATGCAAACTATAACAAAAAGTAATAATATAGAATACTTAATACATATGATAAGATAATAATATCAATTAGAAAAAGATAAATAAATATGATCTGTAGTGGGTTAATAAATATGACGTTATATAGTGCTTACCGTTTTTATTTTAGTTTCTTTAATTTTTTTATTCATATCACATATAACAGAATAAATTATAATTATGGTCTTGAGATGGTACAGCTTCCAATGTGTTCACGGTCAAATTTATCGAAGTGTGTTATTTGGTAATGATCAAATTTCATATCCATAATGTGTAATATGAAATCAAACTATCCATTTCGTATAGAAAATTTTAGCGTGTTTTTTTCTTCAAGTAGAACTTCATACAATCAGTTGAAATATATAGTTTTTATTTTACACACAATATATACAAAATTCATGTCGATTTATATATTGAATTAAGAGTGATTAAAAAAATCAAGATTGAAAACTAATCTTTAGAGAGATTAAGACGTAATATGAAGATTTCAAATGGGAGTTTGATATATTGGTTATCAATGTTAAATGTTATCAAATCATTAGTTTACATGATTAGCGAGCAGTACAAACTCTTCGAGAGAACCAATTCAAGATATCTAAAAAAAGATAAATAAGAAATTCATATTAAAAATCAGGAAATAACATGTCGATTTTAAAAAAAAATGACACGTCGAGTCTGCATCTCCGTGGTCTTGCATAATGGGGCCTGTCAAGGTAAAATCCTGAGGAGTATGAGGGGTTAACATTTATGGCTATGAAATCAGTTGAATGTAAAAATCAATAAACAATATATATCAACAAAGGAAACATCACTTGAACAGCCAAATGTGGGTGGTAAAATGGTAAGGTGGAGGTAGAAAATAAGTGTTGTGCCACCCGAATTCGAACTCTACCTTAGGCTATCCTTTATAAAAAAAAATTACATGAAGAGTGGTCAACATTCTCAAATTTCGAATTTACGTGGAACATCTGGAGAAATGGATCACATAAAATCAAGGGGATGAAATTTACCGAAATATGCAACGTCAGCATCATCCTCATATGTATTACACCAAAACCAGAAGTCTACGACTGGAAAAGGAAAAATAAATCCAAACGATTATTCCACCTTTCCAACAACTCGAGCACATCAATTTCTTGAATGGCTTTTTTGATGGTAGTCCCAACTCATGCATCACATAACTGAAACCCAGATTCAATATTTTTTCAGAAAAGTCATTTTTAACACGAACGGAAAAAGAGAAAAAAGAAAAAGAAACCAAAATTAAAAACTCTAATCAGATACTCACCAGAATTCTTCGACAACGCTAACATCAGGCAGGACTGGACCAAGCAAAATGGCGAGGGCGTACACCATGTACGATTCAGTAGCCTCCTTGTGAAGCTCGACGGTGGATGTGGTGTTGATATATTTATAGATACGAAATTACTATTCCATACACCATAATATTCCAAGCCACCACTAACTATTAAAATACCAATAATAAATGTGATTATTAAGGGCAAATAGTGGGAATGAATAAGAGACGTTGGAGTTGCCATACGTTGTTTTTAATTTTATAACAGCAAATTGAAGTTCTCTAATTACTACTAAACAATAACACAAATTAAAATTTCTTTTTTTACACAAAAAACATGAGATTACTAAAAATATATATATCATCGTAGGATGATGATTTAACTATTTTTTTTTATATTCAAGCTAAATCCTATATAAATTTTTTTATCATGATTGTTTCAAAATATTATCATTTGAATATAAAAAAACTAAAAACACATTACATTTTTATATAATAAAGATGAGATTTGATCCTTTTTTAAACTATAATAATATATTTACTAATTTTATTTAGTGGTAAAAACTTATTTTTCTCATATAAAAAATAAAAATTAGTGGTAATGTAATTAAACTATATAAAAATATTTTAAAAATCAATAAAAATTAAAAAAGAATAATGCATAGATGATGATGTGGAGGAATTGGATGATGATGTGGATGATGATGTGTCATCACCACAATCCTTTAAACTCCTTTATTAATATATATAGATTTAGAGGCTACCATTTGGATAGGATTTGGTTTAGTTTATATCTTAGTTGGGATTTGATTATTTCATATTGACAAAACTCCGTTTAAGTTGATTTAGGTTTTACTTATATATATATATATATATATATATATATATATATATTTCAACTGTTTTGATAAATAGCTAAAAAAAGAAAAAAAACTCAAAAAGGTTCATCTTAATATTTTTTTTAGAAAATCGTCAAAAAAACTCTACTCTTCAAACGTTGACAAACCATAAACCCTTAGTCCAAATATATATGTACTCTTTAGATATTAGACAAAAAAATTCTATATTTTTTATTACAAAAAAATCTTATACTTATACTAATTAGTCGAAATATACATGTATTTTATAAATTTTAGCAAATAAGCCCCTAAACGTAAACGCCAAAAACATTCGGTAAAAAATCTATCTGAGCCTTACGGTTAATTCGAGTTCGGTTTATACATTTTATAGTTATTTCATGTTCGGTTATTTTGGATTCGGTTATTTCGGATTTGAAATATTCATATTCAATCTGGTACATTATTTTAATCGGTTCGATTTGGTTCAAGTATATATTGGTTGAGATAGGTTCGACATATTTTTTATCGTATTTTTTTCTGCGTTTGCGTTTAGGAACTTATTGAATAGAATTTATAAAATTACATGTATATTTCAGTATAAATATAGAATTCTTTTTGGAATAAAAAAATTACAGAATTTTTCTGTAATAAATATAGAGATTTTTTGTAATAAAAAAATACAAATTAAAATTTATATCTGAAGAATACGTAATTTTTTTGGCGATTTTCTCTATGTAAAAGTTTCATCTTAATATTGTGTTGACCTTACTCATATATATATTTTAACAATTACAGTAATATTACTAACCATAGGTTTAATTTATCTTTTAAAAATCTCTCACTAATCTAACACTTTTGCGGTCGACTCTCCTCCAGAAATTCTAAAATTGACGAGAAAAAACCTTTAATGGAAAAAAAAAGGGAATACGGCCATTACCACCACCTGACCAAATCTATACAGAACCTATAACTATAAGAAGACAGTCACTTCCTCAAAGTGAGGAGCTGTGTCATAATCGAGAGGAAAGATCCAAGAAGAAGACCTTGAGTGTCTCGTAGGTCATGAAACATATGCCGACACCAGGCACGACCTTGTAGTACTCCGGCAGAATTCCTCTGTACAAACCTCTCACGCCTTCTGTCCGAACTATGTGCTTCATCGTCCCGAACAGGCCAGTTTTGTACACGACTTCTCGCCCGCCAGCCCCTTCCAGCTGCTTCCGTCTCCTCACCAGATCCAACGGGAACGTAGCTGCACATTTCAGACCGTATACCAGTTCATACCATGTGTAACCAAGGACTCGGGTTTTGACAAAAGTGATTCAGGAAGGTAAATTATGATTCAGGACTCAGATTTGGTACAGAGAAGCATATGCATACGAGAAAAAGCCAATGGACTGCCCATTTCTGATTAAGATACTTAACGCAAAGAAAAATTCACAGTTTCCAGCTATTCTGCATCAACACCACCGTAAACGAGCTACATACCCACTCGACTGATATATACTTTAACACAACCCGGGAATTCTGTTTCAGGTTATCAATGTGTAATTTCCGCAACAGACCGCTCCATTTTGAAAATGAAACAAAGTCGCTACCCAACCTTTTAGTTCTACTAAATGCCCGTGGTAAGAAGCTGATGCTACATGACGATAAAGGCATTCAAGAACACAGAAACAACAGCACGGAGGAACCGGAGAACGAGTTACATTGAGCAAAAACGGTGAACAGAAAAGAAAAGGGTCAAATGTTATTAGGAAATCTTACAACAGAGTGATCAAAATTTCTGAAATCACTGACCTGTTGAAGATACTATGCCTGAAAGACTTCCACAAGCTAGACTGATCATAACGGTGGAGTCATGAGACCTTCAGGTAGAAAACACCAGAAGAAAGTAAGAGTTAGATAGAGAGAGAAGGAGGATATACAGATGACAAACTTGGATCGAAAGGGTATATATTTGAGATAAATCAATTACCTATTTGATCGCCAATATGATCTCAAGGTTTCATACACGGAGAAGCTAATGGCGATACTCGGCCCGACACCCTGTATCAAAAAAAAAAAAATGTAGTTAACCATAAGAAGAAAGGGGAAACAAATAAAGGGTGAGAAAGATACAGCATTCTGCATCTTTTACTTAGGAAAAAAAATACCAAAAGTGTTGCTCCAAGTCCTTTGTAAAGTCCCAATATACCTTCCTCTGAACTAATAGTCCGTAAAGCATGCCAGATACCGTTATAATACATGATATTCGTCTGCCATAGATTATGAAACGAGGTGGGTCAGTGTCTAAATGGTCCAATATATATGAAAAGGATGAACTTTGATAGAAGGATCGACATTGTAGAATCATACTTAGTATATCAACTATCCAACCTGAGCAGCAAGGCGAGTCCTAACAAGATCCAGTGGATAAGTGGCCGAAGCAGCTGTTATTCCGGCCAAACCACCGGCTACAAAATGCACACAGAGGTTTGAGCTCATTCTCTCCTTGTGTTTTTCCAGTCCAGGAACCATATATATGTACTGAAATTCAGAAAGTAATAAAAGGTTTAAAAACTGAGTACATTGCAAAATCGTACTCCGATGAACTTCCAGTTAGATTGCCCGACCTTTTTGTAGTGTTCATATGCATAGAAGTTGACAGATGAATACGGAAGCCGATGAGCAATTGTGACCAGATTCCCTTTCCAGAAAGCCCGGAATCCTTCCTCGTTCAAGATCCGTGAAGCTTCTCGCAATATGCTCGATTTTTGCAGAGTTGCTGCATCAGAATGCATACCTTGCACCTGGCAAAAAACACAATGTAAATCAAGAAATCAAATTATCAGAATAATTTTATAATGAAGCGACAACATTTGCCAACAAACGGAAGATCAAGGACCGGCATTGCACATATCCCCCCCTTCTCGGTGATGTGGTGCTAGAAAAGTAACGCAATGAAGATTTTGTGAATAGGCACAAACATGCTATGATAAGAGACATATATCTTTGAATCATCTTCCAACACTTGACAGCATGACTCTGTAGAAAAAGACCAGACACCGCTTGATTCTTATCCAATTCCCAATTACAGATTCTGTATTTGATATCGGTATGAACCGGTGAATCAAATTCCTACCCGCAATTCAAATTTCTTATCCAGCATAATTCAATCAGACAAGTAATAGACGATGAATTCCAGATTCTACAACACTTCCCTGCAACAAAACAAGAATAAAAGAACAAAGCTTTAGCACACGCATAAACTACTGACCCTAAAACATCACTACCCATCAAAACTCGCAACCAAAAGAACAGGAAAAGAATCTGAAATCTTCAATTACTGCTCGAAGACAAGAGGAAGGAAAAGGAACCTGGAAGAGAATGGTGAGTCGAGAGAGAGGGGCAGTGCAAGTCTTGCTGAAAGCGCCGGCGACACCACCGGCCAAGAGCTGCGACGCCGCTCCGATCTGCGATATCTGCTGCGACGTCAGCCCATGCGACGCCGTTTTGCTTCCCACCACGCCATGACCCACTCTCGCCTCCGTCTGCATCACCATCTCCCACCAAATTCCGAATGACTCCAAAAGAACAAGCCTTCCACTCTTCGCCCAAATCGATTTTCTTCTACCCGATCCAGTTCCTCATACGAAATTGCAGAGAAAATTCCAAGAATTATTTGCTTGCTTCTTCGCTTCAAATTTCTTGCGTGTTTTTTTTCGTCCGATTCTCGATCTTCTTCTTTGTCTCTGTTTGAACGCTTCTTTTTATTTTTATCTGCTTTAAGCTTTCCAGCTTGCCTCAAACGCTAACTAAAAGAAACGGCGCCGTTTTGGTGCTTTCGGTAATCGGTGAATCCAGCATATAACGCCACGTGTCAAAATAATTTTTATTGGAATTTGTGGCTTAGATTATGTGGGCCCCATTCATTGTGATCACGTGCGCGTTCACACGAGTTTTTGCAAACAAATATCGGGCTTCATCCGAGAGATATTTTATCAACTATGATTCATTTCGTCCAAAAATCTTCGGTTCAGTCTGATTTTCCGCAGATTTCGGGAATTCTGAAATTACTTGATGTCAAGTTTGGTCGAACAATGAATGATATGAAATGGCATTTGTCTGTCGGCGTCGCGGTTGGTGAGAAGTAAGAACTGTGATTTCAACATGTTCCACATGCAACACTTCTGTCTTTTGTGCATATTTTAAATTCATAAATAATTACATACTAATTTAGACTTTTTTTTATCAAGTCTGGAAAAATAAAATCGGAACCATACATTGAATCGAGGGTATGTGTAGGTGAGGAAAATACAATAAACGAGTTTTGTATATTAAGTCTAAGCTTTTTTTGTGAAAACAAAATAAATTGCCTACAGTTATAAAAAAAAAATTTGCCTACAACGATGAAGATATGGATTAAAAACAAAAGCATTAATGATTAAGGTGGATGTTTTTTTTTGGTAAAATGTGGAAGTTTCTATGGTTTAGATATATTTCAATGACAAAATCTTATTCATCAATATGTTACAACACAAGTGAAATTGAGTAATGCTTTCTTAACTAAAAAGAAGTTTAGTTTACAAAGGAATTTACCATTCCAATGATAATTAATATAAAAAAAACTTATTCTGAGGTGATATGAAATATCTTATGTATATTAGAATTATACATAAATTCTAAGATATATATATATGAATAATTTAATCTCGCGAAAGAATTCAATTATCTAGTTTTAATCTCCTGATTTGATTCAATCTCTTAATAGAGTGGTGAAGATAACGAGCGCCATATATGATAATATCATTTTGATTTACAAAAAAAAAAAAAATAACCAAAACTTCATCTCGAACTATTGTTTCCTGATAAAGTTTACACCTTTGTCAAGTAAGCATGATAAAGTTGATTACCTTCGACCAAAATCCACTAGAAGTATCCACGCATCTGATTGATCCAAAATTCAAATCTCGCTATTTGTTAAGGCCCCTCCCACAAATTCACCTATTACTTGTCTTTTTCTTTTTCTTTTTCTTGTTTTGGGTAAAATGCCCAAAGCCCTAAAATATATTATAGAACATAGACACCAAGATGTGATCTCTCCCAAACCAAACAATAACACCATAAAACCAGTAGTATTCGCTGCTGTTGTTTGAGTCTCATCTTCTGGTGAATCTACGTCTCGGCCTTCCTCTTCCCGTCACAGAACTCGTAGCCATTGCCTTTGCCGACCCAATGCTTCTGCTCGGTTCATCGTCCTCGTCGCTTGTTCCATCGGACCGCCACCTTATTCCACCGTTGCTGTTTCCATTCCCGGTGGCCAATACATTATCCTTATAGCTGCATATAGGATGTGGTAGTACGAACTTTAATTTAAAACCACATAATTTTGTGTATATATTCTATTCGTTTCAAGGTTACTAAAGGTAAGGACAAAGGGAAAGATACATAAATGCACCTTGAAGACATATCCATGGGATCATCCATTGCTATGGAGTAATCATTGTCCACTTGCATCCCTTTACCAGAAACATCGGAATTCAAGTTCTGAGCAGATCTGCTAAAACGGCTGCTGCTAGGTGTCGTCATTACAGGGTTTGATGTCGCTTGCCGGAGATAAGGAGAGCTCCCATTTGTCGGGAATCTATCAGCATTTACTTCTTGAGAAGTTTCGTCGGCCCATTGATAGCTTTTTCCGCGAGGTTTTGACGCACTCCGGTTCAAATCTTTGAACAGAGTGGAGTTCGACATCTTGCTTATACTGGTAGCTTCACTCTTCTGTCCTTTCCCTGAGCTCGAAAATAACCTTTCATGGAAAATAGACGGGCTTTGACGAAGATCAAGGGAAGGGTTTTTGATGATTTGACCCGACTGGAAAGGACTCTCGTAAACAGATTGCTCTGCAGTTTCAGTATCATTAACCCGTTGGAAAAGTACTGAATCGGTGGCCGAAGGAGCGAAAGAATCAGTAATATCAGCCTGTTGGGTATTGGGGCCAACAGAGTTTCTCATTGCTTCAGCAGCAACATCAGATGCAACTTCTGTTTCAGGAAACTGTCCAGACCTAACTTGCTGTTGTTGAATTACTGGCAGTAGATCTATCGCTTTGTCCTGTTTCAAGGCACAAACAGAGATGCATTTTATTTTACTTGTAATCAAAATAAATAACCGTACAATAAACATAAAAGCACATATATATACTCCAATTTTTAAATCAAGGCAATAAATTTTCAGAATACATCGAGTGAGCCCATCATATGAAGCTATACAAACACTAAATTAGGTAAATATATGAGGATTAAAAGGCTTTAATAGGACAACTGGAGAAAAAACCAAAACTTAAGTGTGATATTACCAAGAACTTCCGGGTTTCGCATTCATAAATAAAATGTGGAAGGAAAAAGAGAGGTCCACATATGATCAAAGAGGTACTTGGAGTACTTACAACTAACTCTGTTCTCCAGTGACTCTGCGATCTCATTCTTGATATAACTTCTTCACTGACAGAGTTTTCGGATATAAAAGCCTCCTCCATTTTCTGAAGAGTGAGATCGACTTGGTACGCCTTGATGTAACGGTAACGCTGCAGGGAAACTCCCAGTCAAAGGTAAAGATTTCTAACAAAAAATTCCCAACCAAATACAAGCAGTAACTTCCAAACAATAAGCTATTTGCAGGCAACAGCAAAAAGGGAAAAAAGTTCAGCATAGTCACTCCCTTCCAGCACGGATGCAGAGAATTCTATAGCGAATTTAATGATTTTCAACATTGCAGACTATCTTACGCTCAGGTTATTGGGAAGTATATACCAGTATTAAGTAGAAAGAAGCTCGTTACATGCATTAAAAGAGACCGATAAGATCCCTTAATATTTTCTATTAATAATCTCAAATGGTAGAAAAGAAATAGAGCTTAAACTCTCAGCTTAAGCTGCTTTAAAGCTAATCACATTCAGACAAACTATTTCTCATCTGTTACTTTCTAAGTGGAGATACTTAAGCATTAAGACGGAATACTCACCTGAAGATAAAAGATGACCAGTAGACTTCCTGCAGTTGATGAAGGGTCATCAGTTGCAGAATCTAGTAGGCATCTATAAAGACACTTCTCTTCTGCAGAATTCCACGGCAACTCAATGATCCGATCAACCAAGTTCCTCCGGATACAAAGACAGCAGAACTCAGTGACAAGCACTTCCATCCATTCAGTCCAACTCCAGCTGTCAGTATCATCCGACATGTCTTTGATCCATTTCAGTTTGTTTTCCTTTACTTTCAAGCAAAGTGTCCTTTGGTACATGAAGGCTTCACTCAGAAGACCACACTCCACTCTCACACGAACAGCCGTGACAGCTTCACCAACTGAGACCAACTCTGATCCACCATCACGACCGGACCAACGCAGAACCATAAGAGCTGTCTCAGGATTTTGTCTTTCTAATAGAACTCGCGCAACCTTAGGGTATGTCTCCGGACCACATATTTCAGGAAGAATCCTACATGCTTCCTGAAAATATCATTTGGAAAACAATTTACAAGCTACAACAATTAATAACAAAATACAAATATCACAAGCAATGTAACCCAGGTCTGTTCTTTATAAATCAATAAATAATCTCTTCAGCGCCTGCACATTTATAAATTTTTGTTGCGAGGTTTAGGACAGAAGCAAAACAACAAGAAACATTGAATGTTCGTGTTGCTTATTTTAATCAGCTGTATGAACCTAGACTTCATAAATGGAAACGATAAAGCAAACTACACCTCCAAAGTCCCAAAACAAATTGAAATATTCGGTTCCCTCTCAACAATCCATGATTGGAGTGGATTTCTAAACCAAGGTTCTAGTACTATTATAAAAAAACATATTGAAAATTTTAATCTTTCATCAATCCTAGCATGTAAAACAAATGCCTTATGATCTTTCCTCGATGCTACATACTAGAATATATGTTAAAAGGGCCTCTAGTAACTGAAACGCAGGGAATAAATTAACCATGTACACCACAAAGTATTGTTTATCACAGTATGTCACTAGCACACAAAAACCTATCAGCTCTTACAGTAGATATTACAGCAACAATTTTAGAAACGCATACTGTAACAAGTATGAATTTGTTTATCATGGAGAAGACCATAATGTACCTGAAGTGCCTCATCTGTGTGATCATCGAGAAGATAAAATACAAATGACTCCAGCAATGAATGCCTGGTAATGCCAAAAGTAGCTGCAAAATCATCTATAACGTGCTTCCAATTTTCTTCAGGGGTAGTCCAATGCCGATCAAACAGGTAGTACAGAAACTATGTCCTGATTAAGGAAATCAAGAGAAAATGTTGGGGAAAGTGCCTCATCTACTATAAAAAAAATGCAATGTAATGTGAAGCATACAAGATGAGAGGATACAATCGCTTGCTTCGCAACCACCAGATCCGAACTTCCATGTAAAAAGAGTAAGTCAGTGGCAGTTCTGAGATTTTCAAACGGAAAACATCCCGACTTTCCTTCTATCTTTGACCTAAGAAACAGCCTATCATCCTTCTGCAGACATCCAACATCTAGATCTGTCTCAACTTCCTGACTGTACTCTGGCTCTCTCTCAAGATTTTCTAAAGCATCCTCAATAAAGAGGGAACCACCCTGTCCATTGAGAACTGAATTCTGATCTACAACATCAGGCCACGCCCGCCTAATTGCAGCTGATTTCCTTTCGCGTACAAGAGAATGCCATGTCGTGAAATTAGAATATCGAGACTTCACATTATTCAGAAATTTGTGTCTTATGCACCAAACCATTACATCCAGATGCTGAAATCATAAACAACAACAGGGTAAACGTAGCATTAATCAATGATCTCTGTACGATACCAAGGTCTAGTAACATAGCTAAACACTCTCTAAAATTCTCAAATGGATAACATCCAGACTTTCCCCTTTATCTTTCAGAAAAATATTCATGGCAATCGACTGTGTATATTTATACAGGATAGGGTTAAACACACATGCAATCAACTTCACGAATATGTAAATGATAAATGAGAAAAAAATGAGAACACGCCCATGAAGTTACCGACCTAAACAATGAGAAGATTATTACCTCAGCCTTTTTATTAGTTGTAGGACTTTGGTACTACTAGTGTTATTTTAGAATCTCCAACAGAAAAGGACAGGAACAAATAATTCTTCTTAGACAATGAAGTAAACTATTGTAAACAAGATACCAACGAAAGACTTACAACGAGCATATTTGAATTAAAAAATAGCTGACCTGCTTTGTGTTTAGTATGAGATCTCTAAGCTGTTCCAGGTCTTCCAGCTGTGCTGAAACAGAACCCTTAAAAGCTGATTCCAAAACTTCAAGCACACTAAACAAGCCAGACAGCTGTTTCAAAAACTTCAGGAGTTTATCCAACCTCGCTTGCATCTCTTCTAGTTCAAGATTATCTATGATAAAACATTAAAGATAACAGATCCCAAGTGCATATAGGTACTTATAATAAGCTCTAACACAGGCTAAGTCCAACAAAAAAATTTCAAGAGCAAAAAGGATACATATTCCTCGAAGCTCTACCAAGATATTCCTGAATGTACGCTTGACCCAATCTTTGACGACAACTTCATCCAGCAAGAAAGCAATGACTGGATCGCTAGATACTGCTGTCTCATCCATACAAACATCTGTGATATCTATTGGTTCTGTCAAGGAAATAACAATTATATATCAAAAGCAAAAGCAGCTCATACAGAAAATGATGTGAACCCTTAGTGATATTCTGCCTAATCATAGCCAAGAAAATCCAGAGAAGAACTGTTGGGGAACTCCTAAAGTTAAATGGATTATCGGATACTCTATAATGCAAAAACTCATGCTCAGAGACTTAAATGAAACATTGTATGCATGCAAATCTATAGAATACGAATGGAAGAGAATACAACCAAACAGGATGCCATAGACAAAACACACAGGGCACCTAAGACAAAATGCATATATCTTTTAGGGAGCATTAACGCAAAAAATGGATACAATGACAAACCACAGATATCAAACTGTTGTCCATCGCAACATCGAAAAATGAATAAAGGCGATGAACATCAGCTCTCAATTGATATTCCTCTTCGTCTGAATCTTGTGACATCTCTTCAGATGTTTTGGAAATTAGACCAGCCTCTACACACTCATAGTAGAGGCGCAGCCGAAGTCTATTTCCAGATTTTGCTATCGGGCTTCTACAAATTGGACATACATCACACCTTTGACAACACTCTGTACACAAGGAGGCATGTCCGCATGAGTTTAACACATAGTGCACGAAACGTCCACAGCTTGCCAAGTCTCTGGTAGCACGACACCGCTCAACCTTCGCCTCATTACACAACTCTCTAAGGTTGATAGATGCAAGATGTTTCAAGGCTTCCTGTCATAAATAAGAAGCAACATGTCATGCCAAAGGGAAAACCAATTCTGACAACCCAATTTGAAGATCATCACTGAACGTGATAAGTTGTGCATCTGTCTGTGTAATTCCCTAACCAACTGGATTGCTGGCAACTTGAAATTTTGACAAGAAACACAATTAGGACAACAACAACAACATCACTTTAATCCCAAGTTTATTTGGGGTCGGCCGCATGAATTCTCCGTTTCCGCTCATTTCGATTTTGGGTTAACTCTTATGAGATTTGCAACACCTAAGTCGTTGCTACCGACTCGTTACCAAGTGAGTCTAGGTCTATCCCTCTCTTTTTTCCTCTCTCCTATTTCTATACCCTCTACTTTTCTAACAACTTAACAAGCAAACACAAATAAATCCCAACAAGTTCACTCGGACTGCAAGATAAGAAGCAACTGAGGATCGAGACAAAGCCGGTACGATTTGCCACGTCTCAGTTTCTCAGTAATATTTGATCTTCTTCAATATAATCTATGTTTTAGGAACAGCGCCATACAGGAAACCGTCACTTCCTCTCCAGTTACAGTGAATCCATACGTTTCCATGCTATTCCAAATGCTACCAGAGAAACATTTTCGCCTGGAAAACTCTATGTAAATCTCACTAAATTCCCAGAACCAACAATGCCTGTACAAATACAATTGCTAACAACGGAACCCACAAATCCATGGAAACAGTTAAGTGATGAGAAATACACAAAACCAGGATCAAAGATACCGCTAAAGCAACACCAATAACTTAAGACAACAACAATCCTCAAAAGACAAAGCGGAAAAACCAACCACCTGGTAGTCAGTATCCAGTAAACCGAAACCAAATCCAGCTGAAAAATCGATAAACACGCGCAAAAAGCATCTAACACGGACCTGGACAGCTTTGCTACTGTAGTTTGGCTGAGGAAGAAGAGACGCCGATCTCGCGGCGGAGGAAGCGCCATTGATTTCCCTCCAATCCATATTCTCCAGCGAGAAAAGCTTCAAAGGTACGAAAATGGAAGTAAAACCGAAAACGTAATTGGTGGCAACGAAGAGTCTCTGAGTACAGTCTAGGGCTTGGTTGAAGCTTTTTCGGGAGGGAAGGGGAAAAGAGGGAAACTGAGAGTAAATTTTGGGACGCTCCTCTCGGACATGCCGAGTCGGGTCAGATTACGGGCCGGGTCCAGTTACAATCCGAAACGGGTCAAGAATTCTGGGCTCCAACGGAATTGTCATGTCGGCTCACTTATTTTCATTTATTTAGGAACTGAGGCCCAAGTCCAGTGTGCCACGTGTTTAAAGTGGGAGGCCCGTGAGTCACACTCGCTAAGAGCGCGTGTGTATCTCTTCTCTCTCAGTTTTTCTCTGCCATCTCGGTGGTTTCGTGCCTGCCTCGGCGTCTCTTGCTCTACCTTCTTCGTTTATTAACTTTTGTTGGTTTTTCACTTGCGGTAAATAATTTGTGACACGCGTGCATATACGTACATCAAGAGTATTTGTCACTATACGGAATAAAATCTGTACAAAAAGGGAGATAGATATTTGTCGAGATTCTAGTGGTTGATTTTCTGACATTATCCGAAGCGAAAGCTCTATTAGCCATGTAAACGTAACAGTCAAAAAGGGAAAAAAAAAATCCAAACATCACATTATATGAATGGTGAAGAGTGTTGACACGGGCAAGAACTGAACCCCACCCACTAGAAAAAGGGACCTAGAAAAAAAAAACAAACACAAAAATTTATCTTTAAAAATATACAATTGTACATTGGAATTGTCCAGATACAGTATTATCATAAAAAATAAAATTGTTTACATTTGATATTTTATCGAGATAATTGAAAAAAACGCAATATTTAAAATCGTTGTTATGATCGGTAAATAATAGTTACAGTTAGGGAGTTAGTTTAGGTCCGAGATAGATTTTTCGTTATCTATCGGCTTTTCACGATCTCTTTTCGAACTATCCATACTATAATTAACCGTTTGATGTTTTATATCTTGAGCAGATGGACTTCGAAGTATACTGTGACATTGTTCCCAAGACGGAAGCATTTGAGATACCTGAGAGTGCAGTGAGAGAACTCAAAGAGCTGACACCTATCACTACCATCCACGAGCAGTCCCCACGCATCCAGTATATCCTCGCGGGTCAGAGACGCCGCCACATCAGGTTCGAAGGCCAAGGGCTTTCACCGACAAAGTTTGTGAGCAACGATATTCAGAAGCTCGGGATAGAGGAACAAGTGAGATATCTGTTCCATCAGTTGGGATGGGACAAGCTCTTCATGACGCGGGAGGAGACCTACAAACACCTCACGTTGGAGTTCACGTCCTCATACAGATGTCACTTCCCGGAGGATGGCTCGATAGAAGACGCCCATATGCTTTTCCGTCTGGTCAACCAGACTTACTGCTTCAGCATGGCGGACTTCGCTGAGATAATTGGGGTTCCACAAGGAACCACGAGCATGTGGCCAGACATCCCCACAGAAGCATACCATCAATTCTGGAGGACTATTGCATCGCATGACGCTTCGAGGGGAAAAGGGAAGTCTACATGGATCAGGCATCTGGCGGTACAATACTTGCACATGTTTATGTCCGGAGGTCTGTTTGCTAGAGGAGATCAAGGTAACGTCACGACCCTAGAGGTATGTTTGCTACGCCGATCACTTATAGACGCATTTGATGGCGATGATTGGGGGATGTCGGAGCTAGACGTGGCATCTAAGGTGGCTCTACACGCTCATTGGAGCGTACGGAAGGGCTCTGCCAAGGTCCCGCTGTGGGTGGGTGGCATTGTGTCCATGATCGCCTGGAGAGTGGGGATCAACTTGGGAAAGAGATGGGGCGCTATCGACGGTCCCATAGAGCTGGACTTAGAGACTCTCTTCCTGAAAAGAGCTATCGAGAACCCCCTGCTGACTATAGAGGGCCTCTACTTCTGAGTGACACCGCAGCAGGCCCCGAGGAGACGCTAGCCGGACCCTCCTGCCCCTTATCCAGACCACGGGGCTACTGGAGACCTTCCAGAGCATGACACTACAGCTGAGGAGCCAGTTGAGCACACAGCTGAGCCGAGCCAGCCTAGGATGAGCCGCAGGAGACGCAGAGAGACACCAGGAGCTTCTTCTTCCTCGGCATCAGCCACGCGGGCAGATATCCAGGGGTTGCAGGACATGATACTCCATCAGTTCAGCGCCATGAACACCCGATTCGACCACCTAGAGCGACGAATGGACACCCAGGAGCAGTACATGAGCACCTTAGAGGAGTTCGTGATGTCCATGATGACGGAGACAGCCCCACCAGCACGCCGCGTGACTCCACCACTGAGAAACCCGACTGCATGGACACTGAGGATGAAGCCCAGTAGAGCTCTTGGGCAGATGTATCAGGACCATTTTCTCTTTCTTTTTCATTTTTCTGCATTATGGGACCTATGACTTTAGTTGTTATTTTGCTATGTTGTCTTGCATGCTTGACTGTTATCGGATTCACTTGATCTTTGTTTGTTTTAAGCTCTTGTCTAAGGTTGAATCCCGACTTGGAACAAAAGACAACACACAATGTGGAATACATCAAAAGTGGAATGCAAGGAGGCATATTTCAACCTTGGACACCAAGGTTACACATTAACCCTCCTCACTTCGATACAATTCTTTCATATCCCATATTTTCCACCCCTTCGGATTTGAATGACACCGCGAACGGTGTCTCGTTCAAGTCTGGGGGTGATCTAACATCGGTTCAAGTCCCTTCTAGGATGCATTTCATACATTCACTTGCATATAAAAAAAATCATCATTTCTCTCTTACTATAAATGCATTCCACACTTGCATTGCTTGCATTTGTACATATAGACATCACTTAGTCTTGCATTGCATTTGTCACATATAGGTCTAGATCATGTAGGAGCATATGCATTGCATAAACCGTTTCGAGTTGAGATTGATCGATGATGGGATGATGGTGATAGCTGCTTAGAAATTGCCTAGTGAATTGGACTTAGATCTTTCTAAGTATTTGAGTAGATTGTTGATGATAGGTGAATAGCGAACCCTCTCTTTGATGCTTGCGATTCTAGGTTGTGGGGTATATTGTTGTCTTTAGGTACACCAAAGAGTAGGATCGACCAAAACCAGGTTAGACATCTCCCTAAAAACTGTTCTCGTAGTCTTTCCCATAGGATGGATAGTCTCTTTGGACAGAACATTGCAGGAATAAGCGAAGAAAATATATATCCCAACACTCCGTTGTCACTATATTGCCAATGAAAATCATTCGATGACATGAATGCGTCGAAATTCGATGGTTCGGGTCTAAGTTGTGGGACAAGTGTCATGATCACTAAAGAAAAGCAAAAAGTTAAGACACTTGTCAACTTCAACATCCTAGGAACCCGGGATGATACTTCTCAGAATCTTAATCTCTTGAAAAAAAAAAGAGAAAGAGAGAGATGAAAAGAATAAATGAAGAGACAACACACCTTAGGAAGAAAACAGTAAATAAGTTTAGGAGAATTCTTGGGGGTAGTGATTACTCTTATAGTAGACTTTGGATGACATAGAAACCCATGCTTAGGAAAGTTAGCCGACAAGAGAGGATAGCTAGAGTAGTTTAGATTCGATTCTATTCTCATGAACTAAGCAGTGGATATGCAGCTAGATCTTGAGGCTCACCAAAGACCGATCTCTTACTCACCACCCCGCTCAGGCTTTATGTTTCATCGATTTTATTTGTTCGAGGACGAGCAAAGATCTAAGTCTGGGGGGATTTGATGGCTCAGATTTTATCTAGATTTTATACCGAGTATGCCTTTGATTTCTAAACGGTTTTCACACATACTAGGCATATTAGAGCCATTTTTAGGTCTCCGGGACTAGTTTTTGATCATTGCAGGAACCCGAGGGGAACTCGAGGGTTTACGGGACGAAACAGAGAAGACAGAAGCATAATTTCCAGATTCAGGTCTGGAACGGACGGACTGCATACTGCGGAACGGACGGACTGAGTGTACAGACCCAATAGACCACAAGACAGACCGTCCGAACTCAACCAGGATGCTAGACCCGACGGACTGGAATACAACGCAGAACGAACGGTCTACACTTGCAGAACGGATGGTCTGCAGAGACAGAACGGACGGTCTGAAGCTTCGGAACGGACGGTCTGACGAACTGAACCAACCTAGAACGGACGGACCACTAGACAGACTCCGCCAAAGCTACGCCGTTTCGAGTTTCCCTTCGAGTTTTTGAGGGGAAATGAGTGAAGAGAACCCTAAGTTCGATTGGGGGTCGAAAATAGAGACCTTGGGAGAGAAAAGGAGAGCTCTGGGAGGATAAAGAAGAAGGAGGAGTAGGGGTGGGCGAACGGTCGGTTACGGGTTAATCGGTTACAGTTATTTCGGGTTCGGTTATTTCGGATTATTAAAATTCATAACCAAACGGTTAATTAATTTTATTTGGTTCGGTTCGGTTCGGTTCGGTTTTAGTTCAGTTCGGCTCGGTTTTGTCTATTTAAAACTATAACCAAACTATAACTAAATAAAGATTCGGTTCGGTTCGGTTATAATATTTAAAAAATCAATTTATTTATAATTAAAAATATTCAAATAAAATATAATATAAAATATTATCATAATTATTTTAACATATAAAATAATATCTAAATTTATATTTTGATATAAAACTATTAAATAAATAAAGATCTACTTTAAAAACAATAATAACAATGATAAACTACGTTTAAAATATAATAAAACAATGATTAAATCAATAATATAAACAATCATATATGTATATAAATATATATAAATGAAGATATATAAACGGTTCGGTTTGGTTCGGTTCGGGTTCGGTTAATTCGGTTTATAAAAATTTATAACCAAACGGTTAATAATTTTTAATCGGTTCGGTTCGGTTTCGGTTATTTCGGGTTTAAAAAAATCTTAACCAAACGATTATTTAATTTTATTCGGTTCGGTTCGGTTCGGGTATATATCGGTCGGTTCGATTAATAACCGAAATACCCGAACCGAATGCCCACCCCTAAGGAGGAGACTCCATTGAAGATTGAAGACTTCTTGAGCATCTCTCTACTCTATCTCTCT